TCAAAAAAAAAAAAAAAAAAAGTAGATTCCCAGTCTCTACCACTAGAGCTACTGATTCAGTAGATGGGGCCTAGCATCTCTCTTTTTCACAGTTTCTCAAATGACTCCGACGCTCTGGGTTGAAAGCTACTGCCCTAGCCTGAATAGGAGTTTTGAGGGCTCTTACCTCCTGCCAGCCCCAAATACTTTCCAGAGGGCTTTAGGCTGGAATCCAAATCACCTTGAGGTGTTTAGGAATGGTGGTGAAGTAGAGCAAGCATAGGATTATGTGATCTGACTAGTTTTACATCTTGGTTCTTCCAAAACTAGCTGTGTGACCTTCAGCAAATGGTTTCCCTTGCAGTGCCTCTGTCTCCTCAGCTCCAAAATGGGGGATAGGCGGGGCACAGAGGCTCACGCCTATAATCCCAGCACTTTGGGAGGCTGAGGCAGGCGGATCACCTGAGGTCAGGAGTTTGAGATCAGCCTGGGCAACATGGAGAAACCCCGTCTTTACTGAAAATACAAAATTAGCCGGGTATGGCGACACATGCCTGTAATCCCAGCTACTTAGGAGGCTGAGGCAGGAGGATCGCTTGAACCTGGGAGGAGGAGGTTGCAGTGAGCTCAGATCGTGCCATTGCACTCTAGCCTGGGCGACAAGAGCAAAACTCCATCTCAAAACAAAAACCAAACCAAACCAGCTACTCGGGGGGCTGAGCAAGGAGAATCCCTTGAACCAAGGAGGCGGAGGCTGCAGTGAGCCGAGATCATGCCACCACACTCCAGCCTGGGCAGCAGAGTGAGACTCCGTCTCAGAAAAAAAAAAAAAAAAAATCAAAGAAAGCTCATCTGGCTGAAGGAGATGATATCGGATAAAAACTCAAAAATATAGAAAGGAATAAAAAATACTTGAGATGATAAACAGGTGAGTAAATATTTTTAAATTGTATTTACATTTTTTCTTTATTTCTTTAAGAGATGTGGCTGTTTATTTATTTTTTCATTTTTTTCTCTATTTTATTACTGAAATATGTTGTCCTGCCCATGCCACCCCACAATAAAAATCTCACCCAGCTCCCCCATTTCTTTCCCTCATCCCCTCTTCCACCACACCTTCCCAGAACGAGGGCTCCCGGATGCCCTGCCCACTGGCCATTTTGGAGTGTGTCCATTGGGTACCAATGTGGAAACCACCGGGGCCTTTGTGGAGAAAACGGAGGGCGTGGAGGAAGTCCCAGGAGGGGCTTACTTGAGGGCCTTGGCCCCTTAATCATAGGCGAGCTTGATCTCCTCGCCACCTGGGCAGGTGGAGGCAGATTCTTCCCACACATAAGCATTGCTCAAGTGCCTATGCACTCCGGGGAAGGCCTCGGGGATGGTAAATCCCCGGTACTTCTTACACACCACCTGTACTATGTGCAGCTTTGGCAACAGGTTGCGGTCAGCCAGGGTGAGTTCGTTGCCATTCAGAAACTTCCTCTGAGAGATGCCCTCATCTTCAGCACTGGTTTCATCCACTTCTTCTGGGAGGGGGGATGTTAAGTAATTGTCTAAAACCTGCAGGGCTTCTAGGAGTCCCTTCTCCAGATTATCATTGAGTGCTGGGTTTGAATTCTTGATGTTGGCAGAAAATTTGGCAAATATGTCCAGCCTGGCTGTGTTGGACTCAGGGTTCAGAGCTGCCAGCTTGGGGTATCTGGGAGGGCACAGCACTGCCTCCGGAAATTCCTCCATCTTGTTGGTGTCTGTGTGCACTTCAGTGCCATACAGCAGGAATGGGAGCTGCCCTCCTGGGCACAGCTTCTGCACTCTCTCGGTCCATCTCTTGGTGTCAATGGTGGTAACATTGAAGGTGACTCCCTTGACCCACAGCACCATGAACAGTCTCTGGGAGATCACTTGAGGTCAGGAGTTCAAGACCAGCCTGGCTCACATGGTGAAACCCCATCTCTACTAAAAATACAAAAATTACCCGGTTGTGGTGGTACGCGCCTATAATCCCGGCTATTCGGGAGCCTGAGGCACGAGAATCACTTGAACCCGGGAGGCAGAGGTTGCAGTCAGCCAAGATGGAACCACTGCCCTCCAGCCTGGGTGACAGGGTGAGACTCCTTCTCAAAAATAATAATAATAATAATAATAATTTTAAGTAGATTATGATAAGTTAAAGTGCATGAGATTCACACTCACTATAGTGAGCCACCACGCCCGGCCAGGGCCTAAATTCTTGACATTCATTTAGCTCTTACAGCGTTGCCAAGTGATTTTACGGAAAGCCAACTGTGTCCTTGAACACACACAGTCATTCTGAGTCTCGAAGGGGCACAGAGTGAGACTTTAGGTCCCATGGAAAAGGCCAGAGCCGTTGGAAGTGGCTTTGGGTGATGCAGAAGCTTTTTCTTTGGAGAGCTAAGAACAAAACAGACCATGTCACTTTTGAAATAAAAATGCCACGCTGAGCCTCTGGGCGATTCACTTGGGCTTTGGTTCCCAGTGAGTCACAGAAGTCAAAGCCAAGTGGAAAGTTGGTGTTGGATGAATGAAACGGGAGCTGCTGGAGTAGGAAAGTCGAGGCCTTCCCACAAGCAAAGGGACCATTCTTTTCAGTGGGAAAAAATCTGGTGGAAGAAAGGAGGGACAAGGGGCTTGGTGAAGGTATGGTGAACGAGGAGAGGTTTTCTTCTCTCTGTCTGAACCAGAGACCTCCGAAGTGTTTCTTGAGGAAGTATGGCTACAGACCCTATAAGAACCCACACAGCACTTGCCAGGGCCGGGATGGTGTTCAGGCCATGGAAACGCCGTGTACGTGGTCCCAGGAAGATGAAGTGTGGGCCCAGAGACTAATGGCTTGAGCATCTCAGGCTAAGGTTGCCTTAGTAGACGGCACCTCCAGATCCTAGCCAACATCTCTACAGGTTTGAAGTCACCGCAGAGGGCAAGGTTGGAATAAATCGAAGCCTGTGGCTTGGCTGTGAGCTGCCCAGACTATGGCATCTGGGGAGAGACTTTTTAATTTTTTTTAATTTGTATTTTATTTTGAGACAGAGGCTTGCTCTGTCATATGGGTTGGAATGCAGTGGCGTAATCTCAGCTCACTGAAACCTCCACCTCCCGGGTTCAAGCCATTCTACTGCCTCAGCCTCCCAAGTAGCTGGGATTATAGGCACCCATCACCATGCCCAGCTACTTTTTGTATTTTTAGTA